AAAATGTTATGAAGAAATAATTCTCAAAGCGTGCAATTATTAAACCACAGAACCAGAGGATAACTGACTACCTTATCCTAGAACTGATGCTTATGGTCCAGCCTGGGGTAATCTTCTCTATGGCCTGTGGAGGAGGTTATCTCTAATAACAGTTATTTAGGAGACGTACAGCAACTGCAGACAAAACTGACTGAGTTTTTAAATCTGCATCTTCAGGGGACAGGGTACCAAGCTGTCCAGTTTCCACAGGTCTGTTTCTGTTTTTTTTACTTTTAATTCTAACATACTGACGACTAACTAGACTTTCAAAAAATCTCATTACTTTTTTTTTTCTTGGCAGGAAAATAGATCTCATAAATATTCTTTTCCTGTTTTATATTTATAGTTGGAACATCATTTGTACAGCTTAAATTTCTTACATAAGAGGATTTTTTTCCTCTCAGTCACAGATAGAGCTCAGGAACATTATAGAAAACGATGATGAGACTTCAAGATACCAGAAGCCCTAGAAGCTAATTTCGGTCCAGTGTGAATTATTCTCCAGTTCTGCTTCATGTCATCAGAATGGAAAAGAGGAATATAACTATTCATGTGTTCTAAATATACTCTGCAAAAACTAGCTTTCCTGATCCTGCAAGTGCATCTGTTCTACAATATGGCCCATACCCCATCGGCATTTCAGAGGTGAGGCAGCTGCCCCAACTTCAGAGCTGCGAAGGACGGCCTCAGGACTTCCTGTGGGCCTGGTGTGTAACACTCACCTCGGAGAGCCACTGTGCCATCATCAGAGAGGATGTTGGGGTCAAGGAAGACTCTGGCCTCGCTCTCTAAAGAATCCTGGACATATAATACTCGTTGGTTCTGTAAACCTGTATTGTAGAAATAAAAATACCTGGGGGAAAGAGATGGTCTTTATTTAGCTGTGGAGTTTTCTATCTACGGAGTAAAACCAAATACATAAAAGTAAAAAGAAAGTAACAGTCACACAAAGCTACAACTGTAATCAGGTGATGACAGGGACATGGGGACTAGGGTAAAGGTCCTCTCATCTGCCTGTTCCTAGGGAACAAGGTACCTACAGTTTGCTACCTGATTTGCCTTCTGTATTAAATAATTTATGTTAATTATACACATTAGCTAAATAAAGACAATTCAAGGCTACTTTATTAGTGCATAAAACCCTGGTGGCACAGTGGTTAAGAGCTACGGCTGCTAACCAAAAGATCGGCAGTTTGAATCCACCAGGCAATCCTTGGAAACCCTATGGGGCAGCTCTACCCTGTCCTACAGGGTCGCTATGAGTCGGAATCAACTCAACAGTAACGGGTTTGGTTTTTTTTGTTTGTTTGTTTTACTGGCGCAGTGGTTAAGAGCTTGGCTGCAAACCAAAAGGTTGGCAGTTCGAATCCACCAGCCTCTCCTTGGAAATGCTATGGGGCAATGAGTTTTTAGTTGCTAAAATTAAACCTGATATTCAAAGAAAGCATTAACTTTTTCTTTTACATGATGAAGAAAGCAAATTTTCTAAAATAAAATGCTGGTTCCCCTCCTTAGACAGGCTACTAGGGCAAGGGCTAGCAAACTTTTTCTGAAAAAGGCCAGATCGCAAATATTTTAGGGTTTGAAGGTCATACAACCTTTGTTGCAACTACTCAAACCTGCCATTGTAGCACGAAAGCAGCCACGGACAAACTGTAAACAAATAAGCGTGGCTATGTTCCAATAAAGCTTTATTTATAAAAATAGGCGGAGGGCAGGGTTTGACCTGCAGACCCTACTTTGCTGACCCCTGTGTTCAGCAATCTGTGACATTCTGATGCAAATCTGTGATGGTGGCTCCAAAGAGATTTTAAAAAAGGAAAAAGAAAAAATGTTTAAGTGGATGTTAAAGGGAGACGAACAAGAGGTCAATTCATAGAAGCCATCTCCTGGCCCATTTCCATTCTTGGATGGAAGAAATACATATAATGAAATATTTTCAAGCAGTGTAAGCCAGATATAATTAATTTTAGAGGCAAACACATCTCCATTGCTGTCTATGAATCATCTCATCTCACCAATTACTAGCCATAACATGATATGTTACAGATCTAGATTTCTTCATAGGACATATCTCCTCTATATCAGTAATTTAGAATTTATATTTTATAATTAAAGAAAGCATTCAATTAAAAAGTAAAACGAAATTAAATGAAAACAATCTCACATACCGTTTTCCTTTCTTGAAGTGGCAGCTATACTTGGGATAGTCATACAGTTCTGTCATTCTCTCTTTGTATAAACCTCTAATAGGGCACTGCTCAAGAAATGGCACAGTGATCTTGTTCTGCGCCTCCACGAAAGCCTGTAGAGAAAATCAAAATGGACAGAGCAAGTCAAATATAAAATTTTCATGTGGAACATTATCTATTAATATCTATCATCAAAGCACACTTTCTTTCAATAAATAACAATAACTAATAATGCTTCTTCTCCTTGTTAGTTGACATAGAGTCAGCTCCAACACATTGCAACCTTATATACTACAGAGCAAAACACTGCCCGGTCCTGTGTCATCCTCACAATAGTTGGTATGTTTGAGTCCACTGTTGCAGCCACCATGTTAATCTATCTCATGGAGGGTTTCTCTTGTTTTTGCTGACCCTCGACTTTACCAAACACGATGTCCTTTTCTAGCGATTGGTCTTTCCTGATGACATGTCCAAAGTAAGTGAGCTGAAGTCTTGCCGTCCTCACTTCTAAGGAGCATTCTGATTGTATTTCTTCTAAGACTGATTTGCTTTTTCTTCCGGCAGTCCATGGTATATTCAATATTCTTCACTAACACTACAACTAGAATGCATCAATTCCTCTGTCTCCCGTTTTCACTGTCCAGCTTTTGCATGCATATGAGGCAAGTGAAAAAACCATGGCTTGGATCAGGCGTACCTTAGTCATCAAAGTAAAATTTTTGCTTTTAAAACTTTAAAAATGTCTTTTGCACCAGATTTGCTCAATGTAATGCGCCATTTTATTTCTTGACTACTGCTTCCATGGTCATTGACTGTTGATCCAACTAATGCATACTATGTATTAGGTAACTATCAACTCATTTAAAACTCACAATAATCCTATTGAGAAGGTTCTTTTATTGGCCCAACTTTACAGATGGGGAAACTGAGGCCCGGAGTGGTTAAAAAGTTACCCATCACAGTAAGTGGCGGAGCTAGCGCCCAAATTTATGCTCTTAACAAACACACTATACTGCCCCTCAGATCTTGCACTGTCAATAATCTACATATACACAGTGCCAAGGTTCCAGGCTTCTTATCTAGCAGCAGATAATCCCAAAAGATGTCAGAGTTAAAGAAATAAAGTTTTAGATACCTAGGCACTACTGTATCAATTTTGTTTTTGACTTATCTTTCTAAGACCCACCCCCCCCATCAACTTCAATTCAGAGATTTTGCTAAAATTTAAAACAAAGGAATAAAGATGGTCCCTGGATTATGAATGAGTTCCACTCCTACATCTGACTTTAAGTTCAAATTTGTACATAAGTTGAAACAGGTACGGTTCCTATCTAACGTCAGTTAGTCAAATGTTTTTCTTATTATACAGTGTACATTTCTATGCATAAAAAACATTAAAGAAACACTTCCAGATACACTAAAACATCTTGAACATAATGCAGTAATAATAATAATGTTTCGATGCACATCACAAAGTAGCGCTCATTTATTATTACAAACCATTGTATGTAGCTTGAATTTTTAATATAATAGGCTTTACGGGGTTTGGTTCATAACTACAGGTTGTACACCTAAGTTGGATGTCCATAACCCAGGGACTGCCCATATAAAAACTGACATTGGAGAAGGTAGCATTGAATAAAAATATCTACAACAATAGCTTATAAGGAAGGGCAAGAGATGGCCTGCAGAAAGTCACAAGATCCGGGCAGCAAAGGCAGGAATAGGGTTTGTTTTCACAAAAGATCAGCTGTATCCAAGAGCAACTTATTTATAACAAAGCAGTCAGAAAGTTTATAATACTATAAAAACTTGCCCTCATAGTAATTCACATGTGGCTATTAGTAAGAAATAAAACATGAATAATTATACCAGCTCTAAATTCAATCGAAGGTTTAATCAGATGTCTACATACAGGTAGAGCCTCAGGGAAAAACTTCAGAAAATTACAGAGCAGACAAACTCATTATTATCAGCATCTACTTCTGGATATATCAACAAGGTCTAAGAGCCCATCCAAGCTCAAAATGGTCTTTAAATGGGCAGGCTGCCATATGCCTTGGGCTCCCCTACACACGAACTACCAACCCTGGTCTGGAGAGCCATGATTTTGAGCCAAGAATGAAGCTGTTCTAGAACTCAGAATAAGTTTATAATGCATTTGAAAACAAGCAAGAAAGAGTGTAAAGTATGAATACAGTGATGAACACCAGTTTTTGCAAGAGGCCAAATTCAAGAAAAATAAAAAGTATTCATGGATCACATTTCTTATTTCATTTGAACAGAAAGTAAAATTTATTGAGTTCCAAAGAAATACAATTCCAAATATCTACTGCTATGGATTAGCAAACTTCTCCCTGGTCTGTTTTTCTAAGGCCCTTGCGATAAGATGGTGTTCACATTTTTTTTAAAAAGGGTTGGGGTAAAAAAACAGTAGAGGCTGGCAAAGCCTGAAGTATTTACTATATGATCCTTTACCCAAAAAGTCTGCTGGCCTCACTCCACCTTATTAAAAAGAGTGTCAACAAGGAAAATGGCTTTTGTTTTTTTAGTTACAAAATCGCCACATACCTGAGAGATCACCGAGAACACTTTGGAGAACACAAAGTGTGCCCAAGAGCATCACCTCATTTCACGGGGATGGTAAAAGCATGCCATATATGGAAACAGAGGCATGTGGTGTTAAAAGTCACCTAGTCAAGGTTAGCAGTGAGGGAGCAACACTGCTTAAGTTTGCTACTTTATTTCAATCATTGCAACCTCTACCCAGGGAGGGCAGGGGAGGCAACCTGGGTCTCCTGTGATTTTTCTCCTGCTTGGGCTGGACAGGACAGGCAAATCAGGTAGCTAGAGAGCATCAACAAGGATTTAATAAGAGCCTAGTGTATGCTGGAGCCCTGGTGGCACAGTGGTTAAGAGATATGGCTGCTAACCAAAAGAGTGACAGTTCAAATCCACCAGCCGCTCCTTGGAAACCTTATGGGGCAGTTCCACTCTGTCCTATAGGGTTGCTCTGAGTCGGACTCGACTCAACGGCAATGGGTTTTTTTTTTCTTTTCAGTGTATGTTAGACATTGATCTTGGCATCGTGGATAGAGGGGTGACAAGACCAAGACAAAAATCCATGCCAACATGGAGAGGGGGTATTTAAAACTTTTATAGCAATTTGACATGGTCATGACATTTTTGTTGTATTTTACTAAAATATCAATCCACAATGGTTTGGAAATGAAAAAACAGGTCATTCCCCACAGATGGTGGAAAGCACTGAGTACTTACTTCAGGTAGGGTGGGCAGGGAAGGCCCTTCTGCAGATGCTCTGAATTGAGGTCTGAGAGCTGAGAGGGAACAGCCATACAGTGATGGGGGGAAGAGTGTTCCAGACAGAGGGAACAGCAAATGCAAGGGCTGTGGTGGGGGTAGGGGCCCCACAGGTATGAAGAAGAGTAAGGTTAGTGTGGCTGGGAATGAGTGAAAGAGGAAGCACCAGCTAAGGTTGGAGAATAAGACAGGAGCTAGATAAGTGCCCTGGCACTTGCTGGGCAGATAAGAAATTTGAATTTTTATTTTAATTTAAGTGCAAATAAGTGATGACTGGGTAAGGAGATAGTTATATAATCTGATTTACCTTTTTAAAAAGCTACTTTTGCTTTGAAGAGAGAATGGACTGTAGCGGAGCAAAAGTGGCAGCAGGGAGGCCAGTTAGGAGTTTGGGGCAGTGGTCCAGGTGTGAGACAATGCCGTGGTTGTGGCAGTAGGGATACTGAGAAACTAATGGATGCTTTAATTACATGAAGGAAAAGTCTAGGCAGAGTGTGGTGAGGCCTTAGCCCTGACTTCAACATTTAAAATATATTTGAAAATACAGTCTCTGTTAATTTAGACTTTGTGATATTTCAGAAATTGTATATTTGATCATTATTAAATTCCAAGTATCTACGTGGTTGTAGACATTGGGGGTTTTAAAATTTGAAACTATGTATTGGGCCTTTAAGCTTATTCCGTTAATGTAACCCACTATTTGTGCCTCTTAAAAATTAATAAGTTCATATTATCTTTAATTAAGGGGAAAAAAGAGAGAGAGCAATGTGTTCAAGGTATATTTTCAAGGTAGAATTGATCAAAAAGGCTTATTGACTGAGTAAATGTAGGGAGTAAGGTAAAAGGAAGTATACAAGAAGATTCTTAAGTTTTTGCTTGCACTAGAAAAATGTTTATGCCATTTATCAGCATGGGAAATAAATGGGAAGGAATAAGTTTGTATAAGGGTTAAGGGAAGAAGGAAATAAACAGTTCCATTTGGAACTTGAAAGTCAGACAAGCATGGGATACAGGAAACCAGAAAAGTCAGGGTTGGCAATCTGATGGTCCTCATCATATGGATAATGTTTTAAGCTATGAGCGTAGATGAGACAGCCTATAGGAAAACAGTGTTAGATTGAGAAGAGAGCTCAAGTCCAAGCCCTGGGCACTCCAACATTTGGGGTTTGTGGTGGACAGTCTAGGGTGGTTCCCTTGATCTCTGCTATCTGGTATTCACAGCATCATATAACCCTCTCTCCTTGATTGCAGGCAGGACCTGTGACTTGTTTCTAACCAAAACAATATGCTTAGTGGTGTCAGACTCACTCTAGAAATTCTCTCTGTAGCTAACTTCGAAGAAGTAAGTGGCCATGTTGGGAGGCCCACATAGCAAGGAGCTGAGGGTAGCCTTCAGCCAAGAGTCATCAAGAGGCTGGGGTACTCAGTCCTACAGCTACAAAAAGATAAATTCTGCCAATATGTTGAGTAAGCTTGGGAGCAGATTCTTCCCCAGTTGAGCCTCCACATGAGAATGTAGCCCAGCTAATCCCTTGCTGGCAGCCTGTGAGACCCTAAGCCGAGGACCCAGCTAAGCCGTACCCAGACTCCTGACTCACAGAAACTGCACAACAATAAATGTGTGTTGTTTTAAGCTGCTAAGTTTGTGTTAACACAGCAATAGATAACTAATACAGGGTTGAAGAGAAGAAAAGGAGCAAGATAAGAAGCCTCAGAAAGAGTGGCCAGTAGTTTGAAGAAAAATTGGAAATATGTGATATCTGAGGAGCCAGGAAAGAAATGTTCCCAGAAG